ACACTCACACACACACTCACACACACACACACACACACTCACACACACTCACACACTCACACACTCACACACACTCACACACACACTCACACGACACCCTCTTCTGGGCATTGTACATCATGGGTGCACTTATATACATGCAGTCAAGACACTCATATATGGAGTTGGAGGGGATGGAGTGGGCATGCATTTGATCAAAACACCTTATATACATGTATGAAATTCTCAGTAAATTATTTATTTTAAAAAAAGACACTCATACACATAAAATGATATACACATATAATAATTTTTTTGGTCTTTTTTGAGACGGGATCTCCCTGTAGCCCCAGCTGTCCTGGAACTCACTTTATAGACCAGGCTGTCCTCGAACTCACAGAGATCCGCCTGCCTCTGCCTCCCGAGTGCTGGGATTAAAGGCGTGCGCCACTGTGCCTGGCCTATTTTTATTTTTATGCCTGAAGATCCCCTGGAACTGGAGTTATAGACAGTTGTTAGCCATCATGTGGGTAATGGGAATTGAATCCAGGTCCTCTGGAGAGCAGCCAGCGCTCTTAACTGCTGAGCCATCTCTCCAGCCCCTATAAAATATATATATTTTTAAAAGGCACACAGGCCTATAGTCTGACACTTGGAAGTAAAGGCAAGAGGATCAGAAGTTCAAGGTCATCCACAGCTACATAGTGAGCTTGAGGCCAGCCTGGCTACAAGAGACCCCTGTTTCAAAAATAAAAAACAGTAGCTGGGCATGTTGGCACACACCTTAATCCCAGCACTCGAGAGGCAGAGGCAGACAGATCTCTGAGAGTTCAAGGCCAGCCTGGTTTACATGGTGAGTTCCAGGACAGCTGGGGCTACAGAGACCCTGTTTCAAAAAAGACAAAAAAACAAAAGTTCCAGGTCAACTGAGACTACAGGGAGACCCTGTCTCAAAAAGATCAATAAATAATAAACAAACAACAAAAAGATTTACTCTTTTTTTTTTGGACAGGATCTCACTGTGTAACCCTTGCTAACCTTGAGATCACAGAGATCCCTATCTGCCTGCCTCTGCCTTCCCAGTGTTGGAATTAAAGATGTGAGCCACCACAGACAGCTGAGATTTACCATTTTAAAATTTACGATTCAGGGCTGACAAGATGACTCAGTGGGTAAAGCCACTTGCCATGAGGCCTGATCACTTGAGTTCAATCACAGAGACTCACAAGGTGGGGGGAGGGAACTGACTCTGAAAAGTTGTTTTTTGATTTTACCACATTTGCTATGATGTTCAGATCCATGTGTGCACACCCAGAGTAAATAAATATCATCAGCTTTTTTAAAAAGTTCACAATTTGGGGCTGGAGAGACGGCTCAGCGGTTAAGAGACTAACGGCTCAGCGGTTAAGACTGCTTTTGCAGAGGACCCAGGTTCTATTCCCAGCACCCACATGGAGGCTATGAACCGTCCTTAACTCCAGTTCCAGGGGAATCGAAGCCCTCTTCTGACTTCCACAGCATTGCACCACACGGGTGCACTCACATACGTGCAGGCAATACACTCATACACATAAAATTAAAAAAAAAAAGTTCGCAATTTAGTGGGATTCTTGTTTGTCCCCCTCGGTTAGGTCAGTGCCGTTCAGTATGTTCACTGGGCTTAGAGCCATCACTTTTATCCAATTCCAGAATATTTTTCATCACCTGAAAAAGAAGCCTTGTGGTCAGCCCTCACTTTCCCCTCTCTCCAGGGATTCCGCCAACCCCTGTTTGCTGCTGGTCTCTGTGGACTAAACTGCTCTGAACACTCATGTAAACAGAATCACCCTCCATGGCCTTTTCTGACTGTCCACTTCCACTGAGCAGCCTGGTTTTTGCTTTTTGGTGCAGTGCATGTTAGTGCTTCAACTCTATGACCAACAGTCCTCAATGCCTGACACGACCCTCATCTCTTCATCTACATATGGGACATAACAGCTGCATTTTGATGCTCTCATCCTAATTTTGCTCCTGATGTGGGTTCCTCATGACTATTCTCTCTAGGGTCTAGCCTCTCACCCTTGAACACCCTGAAGGTTACTAACCTGTTCTTCTTCCTCTTCCCCCACAACCCCCAGGTTTCCCCTCTTGGCCTTTGCCTGCCGGATCAGACACTTCCTCTATCAGCACACAACCCTGCCAGGTCACGCCCTGAGGTCAGCTGCATCTAGGGAAGGTGCTTCTGCTACCCTGTCACCCCTTGCATGGGGCAGGACTGAGGTGTCCCGACATCAGCTGTTGCTGCCTCTGTGGCCCCCATACTGTGGGCCCTGAGGCTTCTGGCCACAGTCACTCAAGTGGGTGGCCCTTGGCCACCCTAAAGCCCTGTCAGGCAAGCCCACTGTACCGGCACTGATGGGCCTGAAGAACCTTGCTTGGCCCCTGGCAGGCAATGGGGAGGGCCAATCATTATGGCCCTCTTGCCTAGAGATGCTTTCTACCCCTGCCTGGGATCCATGGCCATTGGTCACCCCCAGACTGGCAGATCTGCCTCTTCCTACCCTTTTCATCGGTACCCAAGAGGATCTGAAACTTGAAATCCTTCAAGATCTGGCCAGTGATACTCTCGTAGGTAAACCCTGGACCCCCCTGGCCTCTAGGTGAGCTGCCTTGGGATGTTGATCACAGCAGGTCACAGCAGACTTCAACAATACAAGCAACTAGCAGCCCCAAACCAGAACCAACTTGAGATGCTGGTCATCTCTCCCTGCCCCAGTCCAGGTGGGCAGAGGTGGGACCCTTCACATGGTGGGTGGCAGTATTGGCCCTGGGGGCCTAGCCAGTCCTTCACACTGTAGACCCTGAGCCACAACCCTCAGGGTCTCTGCCAGCCTGTCCCAGGGCCCAAACCATCTCTGCCATCTGATGGCCTCTGAGCCAGGCTGGATGAAGCGCACAGTGTCTTCAAGCAGCTGCCCAAGGCAGGCCCTCCCCTGGCCACTCCATATGTGCCACCTTTGTCCACAGTGGCCTGTGAGGTAAAAGCCCAGAATGCAACACATAGGATCAAGGCCAGGAAGAAGGTTCTAGATGCCTTGACATCTAGAGATGTCAGATGCCCTGACAGGAGAGAACCCCTAAATGAGGGGAAGCTGGGGTCTCTTGCTTTGTCTATGTGGGAGGGGCTTATTTTTTCCATGGTGCAGGGGGCAGGAGTTCAGGACCTTGGGGCATGGTAGGCAAGGCTGGGTGCATGGGGGTAGCGGTGACAACCAGGAACTTGAGTATCTACTTTCTTTGCAAGGACCACTTTAGAAAAAGCAGGGTAGGCCCTGGCACCCCTCACCCTGCTGGCCCTGCGGACCCTGTCCTTGTCCCTGCAGACCCCTCTGTTAAAACTTGTTCTCTTTTTGGCCTTCGGGCTGCTAGCCAAGACCACTGCTCTACAACCAGGGATACAGGTTAACCCTGCCCAGGACGGAGACAGCTGCAGGTGACAGTCCCTCTTGCTGCCTCCTCCTACCCGCCGCCAGGCCCGCAGCTCCGTCGCAACGCTGCAAGATGGCGCTGCGGCGGGAGGGGGAGGGGCACAGCCTCGGTGCCCGGCGCCACCGCCGCCCCAAGCGCCCGGGGCTGTCCAGTGAGGGTAGCGCCGGCCCATTCCTCCTGCACGGTCCGCGTCGCAGCGTGGCACAGCCGCAGGCGGTTTGTGCAAACAGCCTTCCATCCCCATCCCCGACCCCCACCGGCCCAGGCGCCTCTGAAACCTGCCAGTGACCTCCGCGTCCCCCTACCTGTCTCCGTGCACCCTCCGCCTCCCCGTGGGGCCCCAGCTCCGGGCTCATCGCCTCCATATCCACTCCTGTCCGTGACCGCCTCCGCGACGCCCCCATCCATCCGCCCAGTCTTCATCACAGCCGCCCAGACCTCGGTGCCCCCTGGCCTCCATCACCCCTATGCGTCCCTGTCCCGTTTCCATACCCCACACCCACTCCCTGCTGCCCCCTTTCGAGCCCCACAGCCTCTGTGTCCCCCCACTGCCTCCATCACAGCACCCCATGTCCCAAGGCCTCAGTGTCCCTCTTCTCTGGTGCCACCCACCCTCCATCCCCGGTAACCCCGCCTCCGTGCCCTTTCCCCTGGCCTTCATCCTTAGTGTCCCAAGACCTGTGTGCCCCTCCCTTCCTCAGTTTCCCTCCGTGCCCCCCAGCATCTGTGCCCCCCCATCCTTTATCCTTCATAGCCCCCAGCTTGGGCCCCCAACCTTCATCTCTCCCTAGTTCCTGGCCTGGCCCCCCAAGTCCCGTAGCCCCTGCCTTCATGCCCCCTTCCCTGGCCCCCACTTCCAGTGTCCTGAGACCTTCGTGCCTCTCCCCTGCCCTGGTCTTCCTTCCACGGACCCTCACCCTAGGGGCCTCCCAGCCTTCATCCACCCCAGCCCGTAACACCCCGGCCTCGGTGACACCTCCTCACCCCCAGCCCTCAGTGTCCGCCTCGGTGACACCTCCTCACCCTCAGCCCTCAGTGTCCATGCCCCCCCAATCCTGGTACCCCTGCCTCAGCCCCTACTCACCCACCAGTGTCCCACGACAAGCGTGCCCCTCCCTGCCTCTGTTGCCTCTCCATGCCCCCCAATCCCCGTACCCCCTCCCTCTGAGTTCTTCCTCATCCCCCGGCGTCCCACCACTTGGTACCCCTCTT